TAACTTGCATTTTAATACTCCATTTTCTTGTAGTCAGTACTTGCTCTACTACTACCGCTGGGCATGGGTTAAGTCCATTCTCCATTTTATTAACTCACACTTATCAGAAACTTCTAAGCTTGGCTCCTGGTGAACTTTTCTGTGAACTCTGCCAAAGTTCAGGGCCTGAAGTCGGAGATACGTCTTACTCCTCTTTCAGACTGTTCCTACACATTGCAGAGTGTACTTCAGGGAAGTCTGTCAGCAGTAATCTCATATTACCTCTTCTAGATTTTTTTCATTTCCTCACTGTCTTTACTTTTCTTTGTGGTCAGTCCACATGTGCCTGTGGCAGTATTTGTCAGGACCTGCTAAGTGGGTGGCTGGGCCAGTTGCATCCTGATGAATGCACAGGGCATGCAGGGAGGTCAGCCCAGGCGTGTTCTGCAGTGCAGGCAGCTCAGGGCCAGATTGCTGTACAGACAGAGGATTAACTATGGGAAAATACAGTTCAGCCAAGACCCTTGACAAATTTTATGAAAATGATCTACAATGAGGAGTCTGACGAGGCACTCAGTGCTGCAGTCAGCACTAAATCCCTTGTATTTTACAACCCAATAATCAACCTTCTGCTGTGATTATCAGAGTGGAAGAGGATGAGTGGTGAGAGTAAGTGGCTGTTGGGGTGGTGCCCAGACCTACCAGGGTCCTGAAGCAGCTCCAGCAGGAAGCTATCCCCATTTGACATCCTTACAGTCTAAACAGACAGTGATGATTTGCAGAAGAGATTCATGGAGAAGACCTTTATTCACTTACCTTTGTCCTCTCTTTGCTCTGATCAGAATCCTTCCTTCACTCTTTTTTTCTAATATCTCAAAGTCACTTAAAAGATAGTTTAATATTTTCACCTAAGAAAAAAATGTCATCCAACAATCTACCACTTCACCAGAATTGATTAATTCTCTAAAACACAGTTGTCACCAACTCTAGGACTACCAACAGTTTCACTAAAATATCTGTAAGAAAATGTCTTAGTTTTTATTTTCTTTTCTGTTTCCATTCTTTTCTTTAGAAAAAAATCACATTTCTCCCCATCAGGAGACAAAGTTTTTGGCAGATTAAAAGCGTGACATCTGTAAAGCCAGTGAAAATAGCAAACTTAGGTGAAAATACCACCAAACTGACTTTTTGAATTTTAGAGAATGATTTTTTTCCCCATATCCTTTTCATTTTATGGCAGCTCTTTGGCATTTTTAATAAACCTGATACTCATAGAGATGCATGAAATCCTATGAGTCAGAATTCACCCATTAAGAATAACTACACCAAGACCATGTATGAAATCTGAGACCTGTCCAGTCTCCCTTATGTTTTTCATTGTGTCCTGCCTGAATTGCTGTGGTCTCAAGAGCTCTGATCCACTCCAAACCTGCAAAGAGGGGAGCAGGCAGTGCCCTGGAGAGCATTGCATAACAATGGAATGAGTGGTTTCCAAACCAAACAGGATATTAAATAATACAGATATTGAGTAAGTTCTGCCAGTTCTGCTTGACTGCAAAAGGAGAAGTGAGGACTGAGAATGTTCCTTGCTCTATAACTGCAGTCTCACCCTCCAAAACTGCCAGTGTGATAAAGAGGTACAGCTGAGACTAACTTGCTTTTTTACTCTTAAGTGACTTTCTCCCTAGGATGAGATTAATTTAGCAACCCAAGTCTATCCTCTACTTTATCCTCAACTCTTCAGTTTCTGCTTAAGTCTTCAGCAAGCCTAGCTCACATGGACTGGAAGATTCAGTTTGGAGAGGTTGTTCTTGCTGATATCTTCTGATTTTGTCCTTGTCTGTTGAACTATTTGCTCTATGTCACTGATGACATATTTAAGAGTTACAGAAAATGGCATTTCATATGGATAAGAAAAGATTATTACTACAGGCAAGTGTCAAGGTTATAAAGGTTAGATGTGTTTTTTCATCACCACAGAAGCAGGGGAGTGGAATGGAGGGAAGAAATAAATATTTTCAAAGGATACATTACTCTGCACACAATGTGAAATTCCAGTGTTTCCTTCTGAGTTATTTAATGCAGTGGCAGAAGAGGGGTTTGTTTGTAAGGAAATTCAACTTTTCTATTGCTAAGAAGAGTTGAACTCTTGCTGTTTAGTGACTTCTAAAAGATTTAAGGATCACTGATCAATTGCCATGGTTTCTTGTATGTGAGGGGGAGGATATCTGATTAATGACCTGTGACACAAGCTTCACCTGTCTGCAGGAATCTGCATACCAGCTGAATACTGAGATGACAAATGAACAAAGCATTTTGTATGGCTTTCACTGAAAAAACTTACGGGGTCTGAAGGTCAGCTTAGCAAGTGCAAATGCATGTTTATTTTAAATTACACATAAGCAGCTCTTATTCCCTGAAATAAGCAGAGAGAGAGTTTTGCCATCAAGTTTGGAGCGTGGATGCACTTGTCCTTTTTTTCTCTTATTGGTCTGGAGATTTTCCCACTGTTAATCCTTTAAGAACACAACTCCACAATTTTTTCCCCTGTTTTTTATTCTGCTGCTATTTTTCCCAATTAATGTGCTACAACTGACTCCTTGTTTGTAAGCCTGAATCTAGATTTTTGTTTAGTGAGGATAGACAGACTAGACACACTTCTGAATGACCTATTATAAATTGTAAGGTCTGTGCTTAACTGGGAAAAAAAACAGCTGCTTAATTTATGGATATGCACAACAGGACAAACATTTTCAACATGGCAAGCAGAACACTCATCATTGATAGCGTTAGCATCATTTTCTCATGTGTGGCTGTTGCAGTAGGAATCTGTCTTTTGGAGTCAGTATACTGCTTTAGAAAGGTGCTGGACAGGGCCCTGGAGACAGCAGCCCTGGGCTGGGCACAGCATCAGGTGCAGTGCAGGAGGCACAGGCAGCAACCTGGCAGCCTCTGTTCCTGCACCAGCACTGATTTGCTCATCCCACTGGGAGGGAAAATCACCAGAGGAGAGAAAATAAAAGTGCCAGTGTCCCATGGCCTGTGATCTGAGACTGCCAGCAGCAGTGGCAGTTTCAAGACAGAAATTTGTCCTCTGGTAAAGAGCTGGGCTCTTCTCAGAAAGGTGATAGTCAGTAGATAGTAATGAAGCTTTTGTCACTACACTGGCACCTTCTCTTTTGTGAGGAATATGCTCATTAAAAAAACAATGTCTCTTTTAAACCATAGATTTGATATGTGCTGGAAAAGAAAGAGCAAAATGATTGGAACATGACTTCATGGTCAGGTACTCCACGCTCTCAGCTCTACATAGTCATTGTGCTGCACTCATTAATCTCATGAGGGTGCCTTTCAGCAGATTATTAGGAAACATCTGTTTAATATTTATTATTATATTTCCTTCTTGTGTGTTCTTTTTTATTCTCAAAATATTCTCCCTAGGGGCAAAAACATGTATTGTGGAAGCTATGATTTTGATAGCATTATTGTTTGTGTTGATTATTTTTCTTTTATCTCTTCTCTTTTCTCTTTTCTCTTCTCTTTTGTTTTCTTTTCTCTAGTAACAATAAGTATTTAATAAATATTGTATGATCACAGAAGTGCACATTGAATTTACTTTTGTCTTCCATCATTGGGGATGTTCTGTCTTCTATGTAGATGAGTTGTAACTCCCTTTCTGAGCTTTATGGTATTGAAAGAGTAAAGATGTAGTTTAAGGTTGTTGATATCAAAATTTAGTCTTCTAAAAATCTTGGCCCCAGGCTATTGTTTGTCTTGAAAGTGGTAACTGAGATTTTCCCTTGCTTTAGGAGTCAAAAAAAAAGTCCCTGTAAGAGAGGATAGATTTGCTCAGGGCAGCTCATGTATTACAGCATGTTGTACTAATTGGAGTTTCCTAAGGTGTGATGGCTTCGTGCCCAGGAACTACATGGCTGTAATCCAGCTGAGAGGTGACACATGTAAATAACCAAAAACTGGGCTTCATCTGACAAAATGGGATGGAACCTTGTAGCAATCAGTGATAATAGAAACTGCTGCTTATGGATAGTGCTGTGTAATTTAGTTGCATCAAGGGATCCATATACTCTCAGGATGTATATATAACTGGTTGATTTGGGGCACATTTTCAATCAAAGAAGAATTCACCTTCCTTCATATTCTTTATAATTCCTCCTCCTGCCCCTCAATGCTCTTTTTTATATTTAAATGCAGCCTGATGTTTTTATAAATGAATTGATTTTATCTAAGCACTTTGTGTACTTGAGTTGTGGTAAAACACAGAAAGAGGTGGATATCATCAATGTTTTAATGACATACAACTCTAGATGATCTGACAAATTCCCTTTGGTGATTGAGAGAAATATAGAAAATGACTGGAGAGAATGGAGTAGTGTGGGATGCCACAAATTAATGAAGCAAAAAAATCATTATGGTGGTTTGAGAAGAATTCAAAGCCATGTACTTTTGTCACCTCTTTCAAAAGATACAAAGATATTGTGTGGGGAAACTGTTGTTGAATGCATTTGTACAATAAGGATGAATGTCTTCCATCTATTTACAGTTACAGGTCCATTTCAATCTCTAAGCAATTTCAGTGGCATGGTCTGGTTTATGAATGGTTCTTTCAAGTCTAGAATAGTATCAGTCCTTTAATACATTTATAGTTAAGTTTTGTCCAGTCTTTTAAAATATACTTTGATTATCACTAGATAAATTGAACTGGATATTTAGGCTTGTCTAATCAGTGACACCTGGAAAATAATGGCATCTTTGAAGAAGGAAGAGACCAGTTTGTACTGCTGACAAGCACGAACAGTTGTACCAGAAATCAAGGGGGTTTCTGTCCTTCACCCACCCACAGCTCTGGCAATCCTGGTGTGCAACAAGGTTTTTGGCTCATCAGCCCTGCTACCATTGCACTGCTTTCATTCTCCATAGCTAGACTATGATTAAAGTTCTTGTTACAATGATGCATCAGGAATGTCCTATGGTTGCAATTTTTTCTGTTTTTCTTAAATTAGGGAAGATCCATGCTGAATCCAGGTGTTGCAATGCAGGATGTGATGTGTGATGAAATGCCAGGACTGAAAACGTGTTATTGTGCAGCAGCTCTGGGCAGAGAAGCCCTTGGGATTTGGGAAAGCCTTTCGATGGATGTCATCTTTGAGAGTAACAAGGTAATAGGTTTGGTTCAAGTCCTTACCATTACTGAATTCTCTGTTTCAAAACAAATCTTTACTATAATCAATAACATCTGAATAACAGCATATTGTATTGACAAATTTCAAGGGTGTCCTATGAGTGAAAAAAATGTGAATCAATGTGGATCTAATTATATGAGCTTCTGTCTTGGTACATCTCATCTGGATAGAAATAGACAGGACTGGGTATTTTCTAAAAGCCTGGTCTCACAAGATTTCTAGCTTCATCAAGAAGGTTCATTAAGTACTTAAAAGTTAAGGAGGTTACTGAACCTCCCAGTCCTCTGAGACTAACTTTTCCACCACTGGAAACCAATAACTATCTATATCATATATTGTATGTTGTGAGGAAACAGTTGGAGCATTTTTGCAGTCTGTGGGCAATTAAACTGTACAGGATAACCTAACGTTAATTAGGGGGCAAAGCCAATATACCCTTTCTTTTCCAGCCTTTAATTTGAAGCCAAACCTGTGTATCCACTGCTCCAGATCAGTGTGTGCACTGTTTTATAAAGTTTGATGTGCAAGTCTTAGAAGTCATTGAGGTGAACTGTTAGACTTGCTGTGATTTCGATGGCATATCCTCTGTGTATTTAGAAGAACATAGCAGGCTAAAACTCATAAAAAGAGTTAATCAGTTTTCCTGTATTATTAATTACACCCTAAATTATTAAGTGATGGAATTTCCTAAACACAATTTATTTTTCCACCACCTGTTGCTACTAGTCAACTTCCTGTTCATTTTAGACAAAGGGAAAGGACCTACACTTTTATTATCTGTACTACATAATACTGTACTGCTTGTGCTTGCATATAATGCAAAGGAATGCCAAAAATCTAAAAAAATTATTGTTTGAAATGGTATAATTACCTGTTATGCTGTTGCACACTTTGATTAGTATGAAAATCATAAAAAAGTAGATAGGTCAGTGTCAGCGCATTTCCTGTGGGAAATTCCTTTTTATGTAGTGGACAGCACTATCTGTTAACATGCAAGTATTCTGCTTGCCCTGGCCTTAGAAATGAATTTCTTTTTATTAAGAAGGACTAGAGCCATGAAATGTGCCATCTAACTTCAACAGAATGGAAAAATTATTAAACAAATCTCATCCAGGTACAGACCTGATTATGATTTTTGGACATAATCCATTGGGAGTTTTTCATTATTATTTTTATACTTTTAAAAATGGACTTTTTATGCAGTACTTCATTGCAAAAAAAAAAAAAATAAGAGAATGGAAGTGTTCAGCATAATATCTGATAAACTGTAAATACCCACATATATCAAGCAAAGCGTAGTTTACAAGAGGCAGACTTCTTCTGTGCATGTGCATAAGGTGCAAAGAGCAGACTCATCACGCTTGAATAGAAATGAGAATTTAATTGACAAGTCCCTCAATTACCTGTGTAACAATATAGTCATATAATTAGTATAAAAATAAATGTAAAAGCCAAAGATTAACATAGCAAATGTAGTTTTACTGTAACAAAGGGTTGTGACAGGAAGATACTAAATACAGAAACGTGCTTAGAACCTGCTCTTTAATAATTTGCCACAGATACTCATTTTACTCACAGTGAAATTCCAGTGGTTTGTTTGTGCAGTTTTAGTGTGGGGAAAAGTGTAGCTGGAGGGCACTTTTAAATGGCCACTAATATGATGACAATTGTGTAAGCAACCAAATGTCTCATCCTAATAAGAAGAGTAGGCGAACACAGTATGTGCTGAAAAGATAGGACTTTTCTCAGTTTTGGCTGTGGTTGTATCTCAGATAACAGCCTGCCAACGCAGCCTAAATAACTGGCAGCCAAACTTGCCTGTTCACATAAGGCCCTCCTGTTTCCCAGCTCTAATTCATTTCTATCCCTGTGACAAACACTAACGCTATTGGAAATAACTACGTATCCACCTGCCAGTGTCATTGAGCAGGATTTTCTGCCAGTCTAATTGAGAAGGAAGTTCTTGGCTTAATTATAAGAAAGACAGTACCTGGTTATTTTAAGACCAGTCTAGAAATTGTCATCTTGCTGCTAATTTCTGCTCTTCACATAATTCACAGTATAATGCTTCCTTGTTGTGAGGTCTTGCAAGGGTCCTGGAGCTATCATCCATCATTAAGGTAAAAGTTAATAGGACACAGTTTTAGAGGGAATAAGAATAAATCCCTTATCTATACAGATATGCTCCATCTTACTAACATGAGTATTTTGAAATGTTCACTGTCTAAACTCCCACCTCATATGAATTATCACAGTTACCCCTTATATCTAGATCACTTACAGCTTCAGCATGCCACCTGTGTCACCGCAACTATCCTCAAGCTAAGTGAAACACTCCAGGGAATATCTATCATTATAAAGTCTATGCTAAAAAAATCTTTGAATTCATTAAGGTGACATTATTTACCGGCTTTGGGGGTTGTGCTTTGGCTTTTGTATTTTCAATTATTTATTTCCTGACCTTTCCTTTGATCTTTCCTGCATACCTGTATGTTTTTATGTTATTGAAGTTTGAGGAAATCCCATATCAAATGTTCAGATTTTACCCACAAAATTTTCTTTTCTAAATATTGAGCCAAACATACATTATTTTTTAAAGATTAAAGATATAGTCCCAGCAAAGCTGATTTCTCCTTCATCCCTCTTTATTTTTCAAAGGAAGTGGAGCTCCTACCACAGAATTGAAATTAGTTGAAGTTAGAAAAAAAAAAAATTGCCTGGAAAAAAACATGGTTTAATTTTTAAAGGATATCTTGAAGACAAACAATCTCAGAGTTAAAACATTAGAATGATTTCAGTGTTGTACTGGAAACATTCATCCCTTTCATCTAAATTATTTTATAAACCAAAATATTCTTTGCTGATATTCTGCCAAATGCATATTTTACTTTTTTGAGGGATCTGGAGCAGACAACTGATCTGGTTGCTGTCTTGAAGTCCCATGCACACTGGGGATATGTTTTTGGCTCCAGTCAGCTACTCTAATGGTATTCTGGTTGCCTCTTCTCTTCAGTAACTCCAAATAGCTGCATGGAGGAGGAATAATCAGCCACTGAGTCTTCTAGACTTAGAGAGACTTGGAAAACCATCACAGAGTTGGGTGTATAAGGGAGGGGCTTTTACTCATCAAAGGGAAATGGAAGTTCCTTATTCCAGCCAGGAGATCTGGTGAAGATATTTCTTCTATATGATTTTTCACCTGATGTTATCTCTGTTATAAATTTTACTCAGACCGAAAGTGTTCCTTGAAGTAAAGCAGTTATATTTAATCTCTAAAGCCAGAAATAAACTTTTCTGCTAAAATGACAAACATGTTGTACAATTTTTTAGAAAAGCTCTTTAATTTGTTTTAATATTTCCTTTTTTTTCTTTCATTCTGCTTTTTCAGTTTTTCTTTATGCTAAATAAGAAGGAGAAACCCTGGAAAAATAGAAGGCAACTGTTATCTGTAAGTGGTTTTAAGTCATTAGTTTTTTTTATCTCTTGATCACACCCCCCCTTCTCTATTAGAGCAGTTTCTATCTTATGCCACAAGCAAATGTAATTTCTGTTGTTACTTCTTTGCAAAATCCAATTTGTTATGATGTATTATGCATGCGAGTATAATTGCAGAGGAGGAGTTAAACTGAATGATAGTTTAAAGAGGTGCATTCCTTTGGCTGTGTCACTCACAAAGAGCAGCAGAAAGAAAAGTGGGACAAATTGATGCCCTGATGAAAGTATTAATCTGCTAAGACTTCAGATGAAACAATGGGACTGCCCTAATCAAGTCATACCCTCTAGAGAATAAAATTATGGCACTGACTTCCGATACAGAGATTACTGTAGTCTCAGCAGCAATATCAGTGCTAAGATCTACTGTATTCTTTGTGTATACATTTCTAGCAATTAAGAAAGTGCTTGTCAGTAGCAATCTTAGCATAAACCATTTTTTCCCAAGAAATGTGAGAGTTTTATGAGATCCTGTATAATGAGTTAGTCTTTTGCCATTTATTTTCATAGAAGGAATAGAGTAAAGTATGTAATAACAATAAATAAAAGCAAAATAGCAAAGTAGGTAAGTATTCCAAGTGAAATATCTTTAAAAAAAAGTGTAAGATTTTCACTGCAAATGAGGATAGAGGTTATAAATACAAAAATTATACCTTTGTAATTCTGATGCTGGGGAATATGATGTATCTATTAAAATAATGGTAAAGTGTTTTATATGTTATATTTTCTTCCACAAATTGTGGTGGTAAAAAAAAGGCTTCTAAAATCAAGCATGTTTTTTATATTATTATTCTTTATATCACTGAACTGCAATTCCTTTGTAATATTTTAGAGATAACAGATCTGAAAATATTTGGGCCATGTGTTTTTGCATTATTTTCTGAGTCTGTCCCAGACAGCCAGATCAGATGGCAACAGATGTATGGTGCAGGGAGATTTCATCTGTAACCTTTGATGCTGGACTTCATGCTGGAATCTTTCAGAGTTACTCACATCTGCCTACTGTGGGAAAGGAATCTGTGGTCTAGGATGGTTCTTCTTTCCCATTGCCTTGCAGTAACCGTTCCAGGTCTTTGAGCAGAGGAAGGAATTTATTGTTGGTCTACACTAGTTACAGGAGGCTCTACAATACAAAGTTCCACGTGAATCCACTTCTGAAATGCACAAATTCTAGTTTTGATTGTTGAGTTGAGTGCGAAAGGGCAGCAGAGTAAAAATGGCCAGTTGTAGTATCATATTGGCTCTCTTCTTTAGGGACATTTCAGAATAAAATGTCCTAAACATAAAGAACTAGGCACTGGAAACTTGCCTGTTACTTCTGGAGTCTCTTCTCATTAAGTATTTAAATATTTGCATGCGAAG